GTTTTGTGCTCTTCGCGACTCATTCGACGCGTGTGTCGTTGCCGCTTAACGATTTATAATTAATGACGAGTCAGCGCTGACAAAGACGATTCGCATGACATTATAGGAACGGAGAAACAGAGCTGTTTGATTTTTCACTCGTGCTTTGCTTTAAACACATCACGCGGCTCGTCCTTTCGACGCAGATTAGATATTGTTTTCATTCTCGATCGATGGTCAGAGTCGATTCGTTAAAAATTCTATCGAAGGCAGTGCGGTCGCTATATTTGAAAAAATTAACTCTTCCGCTATACTGGTATAATAGGTGAAGCTTCGTCGATAACATTCCACCGGCTATTTATTCAGAACTAATATTTGCTCTACCTCTTTTTCTGCTTTTTTTTTCATTTTTCCATAAACAAAAATATATATATTGCGGATTAATAGTTCAGATTGATTTCTCTCGTTTAATGTTTGATAGGTTTTTTGACGTCATAAAATTCATCAATTCTCCAAATATTTCAGAATTTCCATGGATCTCTACGAAGAATGAAATAAAAAGTATTCAGTATGCCGTCAAAATTCCGCTAGTACCGTAGCGAAAGAGTCAAGGAAAAAGATAAGAAGAAGGAAAGAGTGTTCGTAGGTACTTGTTTGGCAGTTTCGACTGTCGTTTTTTTTTTTTTTTAAACGTATTGGCTTCGCGTATTTTTCTCGTATTCATCGGATATTAATTGGGCATGGCGCGGATTCGTGATATAAACCGTTGTCTCCCAGGGCTCTCCCTGACTTTTCACCCTCCGAACCGCTTTCGTAACTCTAATGGGTTTCTCGACGAACCAATGTGTGAATCGTGAATATATGTATAAACAGCTTCTTTTTTTTTTTTTACAGTTACCGTAGGCCGTAATGCGTACGTTCGAACGGGGATCCGCCCCCTTTTATGCGCTGCAACGATTTGTTATAAATAATGATCAAGTTATAAACTGCGGCAAAACTTATGTTAGAGCGATCGAACGTGCTCGAGTGTGGTGATTCCTTTTTTTTTTTTTCACGGTTATCTATTGGAGTTTCGATAGGCGTTCCGACATATACATCCTCTGTTTTCAACACATCCATTTCTATATCGCCGGATTCTTATTTTATATAAGTAACAGACTCCTCGAAACGACTGCTGCCGAGACGATGCGCGCGTTCGCCGCGCGACCCTCGATATTTCGTGTTCTACTTAATAAAATACACATATGCACATACCGTACGTATATATATCACATAAAACCAACTCGGAAACGACCGTCTGCTTTTTTCTCTCTCTTCCACGTATGGTCCACGCGAATACTACAGTTACAGAATCGCAATCGCCTTTGTAATATCGAGTGGTGCGTAAAAAAAGAATTCGACGGACGCTGAAGCGCTCGATCGTTCATCGAGCAACCCGTTATCCGCGATTGGTATTGGCGAATCGTTTCCCAATCGCGGAAGGAGCTCGTCTTCTGAGACGGGATTAAACGGAAAGGGAAAAAAAGAAAAAGATTGCCCCCTTCCCTCAGCAACAGCTGTTTATAGCCGTCCGGTGAACGAACGACGATGGAAAACGCAATCGCACGCGTCAACGTCATCCTCTTCGACGATCGTAGCGTAGCACGGTGAACGACGAAGAGAAAGGAACGGATAGAACTAAAAACGAAGAATCGGAGAGAGAAGTCGATGCGGACTAACGACGTGAAACGAATGAGACGATTTATGTGTGTCGCGTGTGTGTGTGGTGTGTGTGTGTGTATGTGTGTATGTGTGTGTGTGTATGTGTGCGCGCGTCATCTTACAAATATTATGTTGACTAGAGTCTACATTATCTATACACACCACCTATTTTATCATCGAATTATATGCGGGCGGCCGCGTCGCCGATCGCCTCTTATCTCTCACGGCCATTCATACCTCATTAGACGTCTATTTTGCATTATCCATGTAGGTACATACATATAATCGTGTAATATCGTAAAATACAGCGTAGATCGCGTCTGTACGTCCGCGCGACGAGGTATCGCTCTCCCTTTGCCGCTTTTGTACAAATCATCAACCTGTCGTCCGCGGGATTCCGCGCGTCGTCTCTCTCTCTCTCTCTCTTTCTCTCTTCGTGGCATTATATGTCTCCGTACGTGTCGTTGAATCGATTTGAAGACCGGGCGATTCCTCGTCCGCCACGCATTCACAATTCACATCCCGCTCTCCGATCGCGTCCATTCATATCATAAATATTTATATATTTATATATAATATATTTGTGTTTTTTTTTTTCCAACCTCGAATAATCTTGTTCGCGTTTGTTACTCGCGTGTACGTATTCCGTCCGGTACGTATCCTTCCGTGTGCATGCATGTACGTATATAATAATATCGCTTTCGTTCGATGACTTAAGTCGTTACGATGTTAACTAAAAGACACGTTCTTTACATACATACATAGTAATCTCTAGTTAGACGATAGTCGATAGGTGTTCCGTTCGTGCCTATTTATGATTAAATCGAGACTCGATCGCACTCGGCTAGTCGGGTGCACACAGATCAGTACATAGATCATTACAGTTCTCTCGAGTGATCTTACGAAGATCAGTATATTCGGTCCGTTCCGCTTGCGTCGTTCGCGCTACAAGCTTTACATTTCGGCGCTACTGCGGGAGATTTTTTTGTAATAATTCCGTATGAAAGGAAATGGCATATGTCGATGCCACTCCCTTTTCTAAAAATCTCGGCTTTACCTCTTTTTCTCACAATCGCGATCGTAATAATTCGATGCGAACGAAAGCGGATAATTGATTATCGTTCGGATTTTCACGAGTAACAATCAGTCTTCTGCCTTGTACGAGCATCCTTAGTCGTCACGTATAATCGTATAATTCCACGCATTGATGCTAACGCGATCTTCTCTAATTGGTATGTCGCATAGCTAATCACAGCGGGCTGACTGACAGAATATATAGAGCTATCTCTCTCTCTCTTTTTTTCTATGTACATTCCGACTTCAGCATTCTGTATTCGTCGCCTCTGCTCTCTCCCATTCGTCCAGTGATTCTGTTATTAGCAATTTCTCTAAAGGATGGCGATTAAAAAGGATGATTTCAGTCTTTGCGATATGAAATCCGTCGAATATCTGCGCCGCGATTCGCGAGAGGACGCGAAAAGTGTTTTCTCTTTTCGCAACGCGCAATTTCGCTCCGAATGTTCCTCCATTTGAATACGATGATAAAATTGATTTATTGATTACAACGGAAGAATGTTACTCAGTAATATCGACACAAATGTGCTTGTCGTAATTATTATTAAAATAGTATTGTTGCTTAATTAGAATACAGTTTCGGCAAGTTAAAACGAACTGGTTTTGAGTTTCTCTTGCATTGTTCATCGGTAATTAAATGAGTACTTTCTGAAAAATAGAGTCTAATTTGTACTATACGAGTTAGGCCAAGCGACGAAATGTACACTTCACAAAGTATCTAACTGCGCCTTTTTAGTACTGTAACGAATAATCAGCGAAATATATTTATAAATGAGCGCATGTACGCGCGATAATCATCACGTGCAACGAAAGCAATGTGTTTTCGATTCGATTGATTCTTCTTCGTCGTAAATTTAACAATTTAATTTAACAATTTAATTTAACAATTAACAGGACAAATTGTATATCATTTAGCATATACGTTCGCTATTCGTATAAATCAATTTTCGTGTCATTCATTCACGATGCAGATTATCTGTGATGCGTGTTATATTGTGCAAATGCAGGTGTCACGGATTTTACGGAAATATATAATTAATTGTTTATTTCGATATATTATTGATAGATGTAGACTTTTCAACGACGTGATTAAATATTGCTTTTATACTTAATGTGTCGGTATACATAATATAAAAATGCGGAAATCGTAAATTTAAAGTACCGCTTTACTTTGGTTTCTTTCACAGTTCTCGATTAATATATAAGTAATAGCAAATTAAAATTGTTAAAATATTGCGATTGTCATCACCGTAAAATATTATTTTATCTTTTTGACAAAAAGAAAGCATAGGCTACAATGCGAAAATCAATGCGTCTGTGTTTTCTAAACGACAATTTCAGAAATACATTCATGTGTATTTCTCATGAATACTTTACAACGTCCGTAAATTACGTCAATTTTCCGCGAAGTCGTATCTTACGAATAATATTGCGCGTTAGATGTTATCAAAAGCCACATAGTTTCCTATGAAGTTGTGCGTTCGGTTCATTTACCGCGTGTGTGAAGCGAATTAAGCGGTACAAGTAACGTTAATTACACAGTAGTTTTGATTTTTGATTCGTACGCGCGTCGAGCGGTCTACGTGAGAAATCACTCGTTCGAACTTAATTTTAAGAATTAACAATGAACGAACCACGACAATCGTGCTCGCCAAGTCGCTTTATCTTCGCTAAATGGCAGTAATAGTACGATAAGCAGTGCATATCGCGGCCAACACTCCGGGCTGGACCATCGAATGGATGAAAAACGAGAGAGGGCAGACGCTTATAAATTAGTTTCGTTATTATGAGGCGACAGTCGTGATTCTCGTGCATGCGCGATTGCCGCCCGGCGATGTGTGCGTTCTCGCGTATAATAAACTATAACACGTATAAGAGAATAATCGGATACACGTGTATACGTATATGTGATATATATGTACACACTCATCCACGGTAATATCGTCCTAACAATTAGGCTATCGTAGATTCTTTGGCAACTCAGAGATGTTCGACGTATACACGCACAGACAACACACACACACACACAAACACCTCATACATAACATTCATATATATTTTTTTGTGCATGCATCTATATACATGCACATATATATATATATATATATATATATATATATATACATATATATATATATAC